GTCTCACCATCATGTCAAGTGAGCTGAGGAGACCGGTTCGACTCACCAAGGTCCAGCACGAACTGGGTAATCTGCAAGACGGTGATCCACTGCTTCCACCACACCTTGACGCCCCGTGCGGTCTGGAAGTAATACCAATACATGACGACGTGCACCGTCAGGTTGAGCGTGATGGGCACCCAGGACAGCGGGGTGCCTCCGATCAACTGGCTGAAGCAGAGGAGCGCGGTGGCCGGGTGGTGGTAGCAGTGGAGGAAGGTGAGGGGTTTCTTCTTGAGCATCAGGAAGACGGTATCGATGAGCTCGTAGTACTTTGTGAGGTAGTTGATCTGCCGGGAATTGGTTCAGCTTGGGTTCTTAGTTATAAGTGATTTTTTCAGATTACTCACGTAGTAAAGAACGACTAGCTGTTGTGTCCAGCCTGTGGGTCCGCAGATGCATTCGTAGATGCCCTTCTGCCACAGGCTTGGTGCAACTTGTTCAACGAAGAGAACCAGTAGAGCTCCGCTGAGAAGAGACAGGAAAAAGTTGTGGATTTTGAAGAGCGTGTTCAGCTCCAGCGGTTTGCGGTTGCGCATCACCTCCCGGCCGCCAAAAACGACTACGAGATACAGCACCACCAGAGTCATGGCTTCAGTGAAAGTCGAGAGTGGTGTCTGTCCGTAAACGAACTCGAACTCGCTGGCAGGGTATCCCATCACCGATTTGTAGACCTTGTCGAATGTCGTCCATGGTGAGAGAAGCGCTGCGGATGCATCTTTCACCACCATAAACCCGGAGATGTTGCCGCTGGAGGTGAGATTATCGGGAAACATGATGACTGGGGGGAAAGAGAGTTTGAAGGATCTTGAAGAAAGAAAGAAAGATATCTCACGTAGAGAGAAGGAGAAGAATTACAATCGATTTATGCTAATGTGGATGAGTACCTCAATGCATGACCAAGACTTTACCATGGGAAAATGGGGCCGCCGCTCTACGCCCCAAGCTCGACCATCTCGATGCCTCCGTTTCAGACCACCAACTCAATTGCTTTAAGCACACCAGCCTATGACGGCATTTTTTTTTTTTTCTTTACGGTCCTCGCGGGTACCCAATGCATGATCAGCGCGAGCCGCAATTAGATTGTCCATTCCCCGTAGCTACCCAAGCTTTTGCCAGCTCGGTATCAATGCTCCGAAGGCTCGTACCCAGCTTTACGTACAGCTACGACGGACCTTGACGGACGCGTTTGATACCTGGGCTCGCGTACATCCCACACGGGTTATGCCTTAGCTTTGAGAGAGGCGTTACGTGGTTCTCTAGCGCGTACCCGGTTTTAACCCCTCATCAGAATCAGGCTTTTTCTATTGAAGTTAAAGATGGTATTTGCTTCTCGCATTCAGACACTCGTGGCAGTGCAAAATCACCAGTGGAAACGACCTTGTTGGTATAGCTAACACGCAAGATGAATACAGCGTTGAGAAGAAGGTTGAATTGGTACAGCCAGCTATTGGCCTATCTTGAGTCACCGGCCATCATTCAAGCCAACTTTGCTTTACTCAGAAGTCCACTCGATGGGATCTCAACAAAGATATCACTTCAAGATGAAAAGTTGTCTATCTTCAACCGCTGGCACGAAAATGTTGGCAAACTCCTAGCTCTGAGCTCTGGTCCTTTACGGTAATGGCTACAGTTGAGGTGGGAACTGCGAAAGTGTGTCGGAGAAACAGCGTCCAGATTAGCATACTTTCTGGTTCCTGCATGATTTTCTTTCATCCAAGTGGAGCTTGGTTCATCTGACTCCCTCTAGTTTCTCAAGAAACGCTTCGTGTGCACACCCCATCACAAGAAACAGCGTGCATCTCTCCTACGCTATCGTGAATTTCAAGCTCCAAGACAGAGATGATGATACCGTACTCCACCCAACTGACACTTCACTCTCTGAATATGCTTCCTACCTTGTATCCAGGGTCTCTTCAGCTTCGACCACTCAAATCGTTCATCATCGGCCCACCCCTCCAGGTGTTGAGGATGGTCTGTCCATCCACTCTCACTATGCGATTTCTACGTATAAATACTCAGTATCAAGCTTTCATCGTCTAGAATGGTCCTCATGCGGCAGTGTTGTCGAAGAGACTATAGTATCACGCTTCTTCGCAGCTCGTGTGCTCGTCCGCTATCTTTCAAGTCATGGGCTCAAGCCAGTTCAGCATCGCCCTCGCCTCCCTCGGTCTTTCGTGTCCGCGCTCGTCATCATCTTTTGTTGACTCATGTGTCGGAATTTCATGATGGTAACACCATCAGTGGCCTACTATGAGACAAGACTTCGAGACCGTACCATAGCCTACAGGCGCTGCGAAATCTGGTAATATTGGCACTGGTAGTACGGTTACGCACGAAGACGGGATCTCAGAGAAAAGCTGTAGATCTGTGACGACGCACCACCAGGCATTTGGGGCCTCCAAGATGCTCAATCTTGACATCATCGTAAGCTCTCGATGCGGCTGGCCGTGAATCAAGATGAGCTTCAGTGAGGATTCGACGCCGAATTGCCCAAGCGTGAGATCCGAGGTACTCAATCAGTTTGCTCGGTTGCTGGTTGGCACAATCTACGGCTGCCTAACCCTTCAGATCCCATCCGTCACGTCCTACTTCTTTACACGACATACCTCCCCTGTCATGCGGGGCTAAGGGTATATATGCCATCCCAACGTCGTTCCTGTCACCATCACAGCGACGTCTGTTAAGGTCGACGGGCCAGGTCAAACTGTACGCCTAGTGTAGTGACCAAAATAACAAATACTCCAATGAAGTCAAAGTTGGGCTTGACTGAGGGGCATGGTGTTCAAGTCCGGGCAAGGGCGTATATGATAAGGTCAATCTTCCCCATTCTTCTGTCTCAATTCCTTTTTCTTTGTTCTGGGGGAATTTCTATGTAGCTTTCCGGTATTCGGAGACTTCAATCTAATCAACGTCTTTGTGTATTCACTCTGGCAAACCCAGTACGTATTATGTATCATGGGTAGTAGTTTTCTTGATATAGTAGATGGTTCAGGAGCGGACGATTCTTAGATGCAGAAGTAGCGACTGGGTCATTGGCGGGCCGGTCAAGTCGAGTTAAGCGCTCGTCCAGAAGGCGGTACTCTTAAACGGAGAGAGAACGGGATATTTACCTGTCGAGACTGATCTCCTGGCCTCTTGGAGTGACTCTTGTTGGTCATCGTAGCTTCAGGGTCAAATTTCGCTTGGCAGATAGGGCAAGAGTGGGCAACATCGGAGTATAGATCATATCCAAGGCCCCATTGGTGGTACAAGTAGGCAACTCTTCTCACGGTGCCCTCACTGATATCGACGACACAATTGTTTATTGAACTCTTGGTACGGAGTATGTTGTTACCAATCTCGATGAAGCGTGGCATGACCAGACGAAACATGACATGACTAGTCTTCATCGCCGAACAAGTATGCATCCCGGAATACTACACAAGACGCTCTAAGCCGTGTAGGATGCCTCTAAAACTACGGTAAAATTCAGTAAAAGACGGTCCCTCTGCATATCTGATAAAGCTTATCAGAGACCCCTTATGGATACTTTAGATAGTGCAATTGCTATAATCAACAAGATGCCCTCATCTAATGCGAGACGCTTCACGATGTTGAAGGAGTTTAGACAATTCTTTGCGTTGATGGACGCTCTTTAATATTGTGGAAGTGTGTACCATGCCACTCGGCCAAGACGTTCCTGCTCATGGGATACATTAACCGCCCTAAAGTACGCAATTCAGTATCTTAGTATGACCCTTCGGCCGTTTTCTTCAACCAGCGCCCAAGAAGAATGTCAAAGACGAGAACATATTTGGCTTGAAGCTTTTGCCACTCTGCTTTCGGCATGCGAGAGAGCTAGCGGCTCTGTGTCTAAGACAACGCCAGCTGCGGAGCATCCAGCTAGCGCCTGAGAATGCGACGGGTCTCACAAGCTAGTCTGTGTGACAACTGGTCCTGTCTTCAACGGCGTCGATCTGGCAGATCGTGGCGCCACGGGTTCCGGTGTTAGCTTGGTGGGGACCATCAACTTTCCACGTGCGAAACGTTCTTCAAGACGAGCGGCGGACTGCAATCTTGGAGAAAAACGTCTACTCATCGAGAAGGATTTGGGTACATGAGGAGTTGACGATATGTCAATCACGCCACAGTCAAGGCATTGAAAGACTGGTTCAGGTGCATTCGTTCTGGCATGTTCGTCAAGAAGGCGAAGTTGTGAGGAAACCCACTGGGACAACAACATCTCAGCGAATCGACATCATGCCTAGATATCCCGAGTCCGCTTATCTCTGCTTCATTCTTGAGTCTCCTAGCGGTCGCTCCGAGGCCCAGGCGTGCTAGGCACGTCGTCTCTGATGAAGCTAAAGTAAGGGGAGAGGTCAACATTGAGGCCAAAGCTCCACGTTATCCCGCACTCACCAATCATGCAAATCACGCATCGATGCATGGCTCACTCGGAATATCATTGGGCGATGGGGATGGGATCAGATAAAAAGCACGGTAGAGAATATATTCACATGCGCATGGAGGGAGGCTGGCCCATCTGTTAGGACCAGGCCATATCAAATTCACTCAAGTCAAGCAACCCTCTGCGAATCCTTCAGCACTGCCACAGGAAAACACATCGCCAAAAGCCCTGCATAGCTGATCTCGAACTCAAAACTACCCTCCCCAATCACACGAACCCCATAAACCCATGTCTCCGTCACCAAGAATCATAGCTCCAAGAAAGCCGATCTTCAACTTCGGTATGTGTTCTCCAACAGGCTAGAACAATGTCGTCAGCCCGAATGGCCGCACACCTACGGGCACATCCCTGTCTGAGACGACACGGTGCCAGCAATGTGTGATGTCAAATCTGACGACGAAAATGTGGAAAGGTGGAAGCTTTGATAGGTGCGATTCACACCCCCGCCTGCCTGATCAGATACCGGTACCTAGGACAGGGGGGTGGTCCCTGAGCTTTCCATCCCGCACATGCACCTCTGACGTCACACTCTATCAGTCCAGACGGGAGCTCACATCACCTTCCTTAACCACAAAGCAATTCATCAAACAGTTCATAAGAAGGGGCCTCAACCACCTCAACCACGTTCCTCATCTTGTCTGAGACATCTTCTTACAACCAAAGGCAAACCTCAAAAAAGCCGCATGCCAACCTTCAACAAACAACACACCCAAACCAAAATAAAAGACGTCCCCCTCTTAAACAAACTTGCACCCGCCTCCCAACAACACAAACCAATCTTGCCCAAAATGCCCGTCGGAAACAGCGACCAGAACGCAGGCGTCACGGGCGGCGCAAAGTTCGTCACCTCGGCCCTCGGCAACACCGTCGGCGGCGTCACCCGCACCGTCGGCAACGTGACCGGCGCCGCGACCCAGGGCGTCGGCGACACCATCTCCAGCGCGACCGGGTCCGCTGGCCGCCCTGTCGGTGACGGGATTGCCAACCTTGGACAGGGATTGTCGGGCGCGCTGAACTCTGTTGGCAAGGGGGCTGAGGATGCTGGTCAGTGGAAGAGATCTTGAAGAACGAGATAGGATCTGAATGGGATATGATTATGGGAAGGAAAGGGAGAATGAAGCAGGATGATGATGACTTGGGAGGTTCTTTTACTTGTGTTATTAGGAGCGTTCACGTCATGGAATCACCGTGATTTATGTGGAATATAATGATATCCCTTGAATCAACTGTCTAAATCTTCGTACATCTGGTGCTAAGTTGTACTCTAATGCACCTCTCCACATTTGGCGCCCAAGGCCGTTGGTATTGTTACAGTAAGGTAATTTTACAAGATAATACAGTGTATGACAGTGAACATGATACAGTCGCATAAAGGGAGGGGAGTGACAGCACCTCAACCTACTCATTCCTTCTTGCGGAACTGCAGGTTATACGTCAGCAATTGCTCCTTCGTCATCTTGCCCGGCCCGCCAGCAAACTCGTCCACGCCATTGTTATTCTTCGGGAACGCAATCACGTCCCTAACGGAAGACGAGCCGCTCAACACGGCCACGAACCGGTCAAACCCGATGGCGAAGCCCGCGTGCGGCGGACACCCCGCCCTCAGCGCCTTGAGCAGGTGCGAAAACTCTTTAATCTTGTCCTGGCTCATCTTGAGGATGTCGCGGAAGATGAACTCCTGGATCTCGGCAATGTGGATACGCCGGCTGCCTCCGCCGAGCTCCACGCCGTTGAGCACAAGGTCGTAGTGGTCGGCCTTGGCCCGGAGCGGGTCCTTGAAGAGCAGCTCAAAGTCCTCCTCGGAGTGTGGGGACGTGAAGGGGTGGTGGGTGGCCGAGAAGCCCGAGGCGCCGCCCTGGCCGACGTCGCCTTCTTCTTCCGGGGTGAACATGGGGAAGTCGGTCACCCAGAGGAACTTGAAGCTGTCGTCCCTGTCTAGGAGGCCGGCTTCCACGGCGGCGTGGTACAGGGCGATTCTCGCCTCGCCGAGTTTTGTTGAGCCTCCTTGCTGGGGTTGGTTTTTGCGCGCCTGGAACAGGACAATGTCTCCGTTTTCGAGCGACGAAAAGCCGGCTTCTTCGGGGAGAGAGCCCAGGATGCTGTCTAGGCCTTCGGGTCCGAGGGCGGAGAAGCCGTTGAGCGGCTTGCTGCTGTCGAACATCAGGGCTGTGGGGGCGCCGTCCGGATTTTGTGAGAGGCTTTTGGGAAGGTTCTCCATGAACTCCGTCACAAACTTCCACACGTCCCGCCTGTCGGCGTCTTCGTGTGGGCTGATCTTCCAGATTTCGACGATGGGTGCGTCGAGATCGGTGATCATGCTGACAAAGTCCTTGTTGAGGCTTTCGTCAACGCGACATATCTGGGCGCTGTTAGTCTTCTGATGCTAAGGGGCGTCTTTGGGACGCAACTGACCCTGTTGGGAATGCGCAGATCCGGCTTGTCGGATCCGTACAGATCCATACAGTCGGTGTACTTCATTCTGAGGAACGCCTTAGAGATGGCAGGGTATTCTTGGTAGAAAGGTGCTTTGGCGTCGTCTTTCGTGCTGTCCTGCACACTTTGTTGCCAGTCCTATTTCCGGTCAGCTCTCCATTTCACTCCACTGCGTCTGAATTTGCGAGCGATCGCATACCTCGAGTGACGCTTTTCTAACCGGCGCGAATGAGTCTTCTCCCACTTCCATGACGTACTGCTCTCTCACAGCATCCCACGCACGGCCGACGACATATTCTACGTCCTCCATGATGGTCTTGCCCGTAGCAAAGGATTTTTCCATATCCAGCTGTCAATATGTTAGCGATCTGTACTCATTAGCTGCATAAACAGCGCACCTGTGTAAATTCGGGTTGACGGTCTGCACGATGATCTTCATCACGGAAGCACCGCGCAAACTGGTAGTAACCCCCCATGCCAGAAGCCATAAGGACCTGCTTGTACTGCTGCGGGCTTTGAGGTAGCGCATAGGCGTATCTTGGTCGCCTCGTCGGCACAATGAACTCTCTTGCGCCTTCCGAAGTAGACTTGAAGAGGATGGGCGTCTCGACGTCCATGAACTCCCTGTCCACCATCGCCTGCCCCATGGACGACTTGAGATGCGCACGGAAGCGCAGCCTCTCCTTCAACTCCTTGTGGAATCGCAACTGGAGATGGCGTTGCTCTGGCGGAAACACGGTGTCCGGGCCGACAATGATGTCCTTAGGGAACGGGTTGAGGTATTGTATCGAATCCATGTCAATCTCGAATCGTGTCGCGCCCGATGCGTCTGTCGTTACGCCCTTTGCCAAAACGGCGCTGAAGGGGCGAATCTTTGCTAGTGTAGCCGCATTGTCGCCCTTGGCGCAGATTTGACCAATTCGTTTTCCGTTGCGCTCCAGGTGGGCGAATGCCAGGTTCTTGCCGACCTTTCTCGTTCGGCCGATGTGTCCGCTCACGATGATCGAGGAGCCCGGTTTACTCCATGCCTCGGGCGAGGACATCTGGGGGAGTGCGACTGTTGGTTTCGAAAGTCAGCAAAAGCCTTAGGAGTTACACTGGTATTCTTGAACTTGCTCACAGCACTCCTTGAACTCTTCTGACAGCTGTGTATGTTTTGACTCGTCTTGCGCCCGCTGAGGTTTCGTCGTTGACAGGTGACGAGCCTGACGGCCCGGGGAACTCGTTTGGCTACATATTGAGTTTGGAAGAAGAGAGAGACTTCGGCTGAGGGGTTGCGATTGGGGTGTGCGCGGACGCAACGCAGCCAACGCTCTACTGCGACAGTATTGGCGAAGCATCTGGAAGGTCTGGCAGGCCTAATTAAAGATTGCAATGGTGCAGAAGCTTAGAGTCAAGTGCACAAGGTGCAGCAATCAAATTGGAGCTTCGGCAGGGCACAATGGCGTGGTTAGAAGGAATGATAGGTGGGCTGAGATCCGGTTTGATTTTGTGACATTTGAAGCTATCATAAGGTAGCTTAAAGTCCCTTAGCTCACTGTTCACTGCATCAAAACGGTGGAACGATGTCGGAGCCCACCCATCCAATGCGACACAGGTGGGCTGCTGCAGCCTGCAGCATGGCGCCTACCTCAGGCCCCCCAGCCGGCGCTTGCTGGCACCTCAGGCAGAAGGTCCCCACCAAAAAAGTGATTAGCGCGGGGCAGATCCTCGCGTCCATATAAAAATCTTTCAGAGAGCTCCTAAAAATTTCCTTCCTCTCCTCTTTATGATTTCTCCATTTCAAAAAAGTGTACGTTTGGTCTCCCCTCCCAAATCTTTCTCAGCGCAATTGCGCGCATCTCAACAAAACGACGAGAATACTAATTGGATATTTGTTGCAGGTGATGATAGCCACGTGGATAACATGATGCTGCTGCCTCCGTCTGAAGCATCCAAGCTCTCCCCTTCTGGTGGCTTCAGGGCAAAGGTGTCGAGGGCGGAGGGGGCCATGACATAGGCGTTCGACACGACCTTGTTACTAGTATCGGACGCGATGAAAGGCAAATCTGATTTTTCACGAAATGGAAGAATTCTGTGGGCTTGGCACTTCTTTGTTTGTTCGACGACAACCGGGAGCCTCGAGGCTTCGAGTGAGGTCGAAGGGGTTTTCTCTGCGTTGGCGCGAACAATATTCTCTCTCCTTTGATGGCGCAGCCTGCGGTCGGATACGTCGATACGTTCTTCCTGACACGGCTACAGCCAGAGATTTTGCGGTCGGCTGGGAGCGAGAAACATCGGATGAGTCTCCCGCGTCGGTGAAGCTTTCGGGGCTCTGCAGGCGCGGTATGATAATGGACGATGTCGAATCGCAACTGGCGTATGTCGGCGGTGGATGGGATACATCAAATCTTGGAGACTCTTTTGTATGGTAGACATTTTGACCTCGTCAGTGCATACACACTGACGGGGGTGGTGCCCTGAGCGGCTCGCCAGCCATCCCCAGACTCGAATGAATCAATCAAGACCCCGATGACGGGCGAAAGAAAAACACAAAGGGTCCGAGAGCTAACCACTGTGCCGCTGCGCTCTACTCCGTACATGTGAAGGAGATGGATGTCTCCGTTTGATGATTCAGCGAACCCCATGTTTCCCCAAAGTGTTTCAATAAGCCATGGTGCCGTTCAAAGTTTTGAAGTCGTGCCAAGCACGAGGGGTGAAGATTGAATCGAGAGCGTTCAGTATAAATCGTTGGATAGGACTGTGACAAGGTACACAGCTGAAGGTAGGCTTACTGATGAAGCTATCACCAAGATCGGATCAGTGAAGCCATCATCAGACCAGATCCATCATCAGCAATGGCAGAAAACAACCATGCTTGCTTCTCCAGGCTCGGTCTCTGCTCCCCACACACACCTACAGGTCGTTGGAAGATCCCGGCTCGTTGGGACTGTCAGTGTTCGTCCGTGTCACGAAGCATGGAGCATCGAGGGGGAAAGACGGGACAATGGCGGCATGCACCTCACAGGTCACACATTTCTATAAGTTACAGGCTCACAGGTGCATCGCCTCGACGCCGATGGAGGGTTTAAGGGTGAGATGGCTTGGCCCCTAGGTAAGGGCCAAGGCAGATGGTGTTCGGGATCCCGTTCTGCGGTCCACCTCACACACGCCAAAAGATGCGCTAAACTGAATCAACTCGGGTCTCTGCTGTCTGGCGTCTGCAAGAGTGATGGAATCGAGTGAGTGATATGCAGGAGACTGTCTAGGGAGAATGGAAATCTGCCCTTGGAGAATCTCTTTAGCGGTCATGTCGCAGTCGCAATCGCACCCGTCAACGCCAAGGCCACCTCACTTTAATACGTACAAGTTGTACATTTCATTGTCGCCAGTTGGAACTACCTAGAAGCTGCCACGGAGACGTTTGCCGAATTGCCAGCATCATCGCCATTCAGCTCGCACCTCAGTACAACGAATACAAGGTTCTAGGATTCCCAAAGTAAGGTATTAACCAAGAGGTACCACCGGCCTAACCGAGAATACGTGCCCTTCACCTAGGTACCGAGAGTTCAGGTGGCTTCCCGTTGGACCAGCAGAACTATCCGTAAGGTACCTGGTACCCAAGAACTCAAGGTGTCCCAGCACAACTTCACCAGCACCAGCATCTCGGGCTGTCAAACGGAACTCACTAGAGACAACGCCGGCCACTCACACCCGAACAAGCGCACGTTGAGCCAGCAGCACGGCCAGCACAGCCAGCGGCAGCACCTCCTCTCTCCCTCCGTCTCTCCGTCCTCCCACCCACCTCCGCTACTACGACACCAGTGACCACTGTCCAGCAACCTTACGTAGGCTCAGCCCAGCCCAAGCCCGACCAGCCGACCTCTCCAAATCAAGACCGTGGCCCGTCCTCCTTCACCACGGTCCACCCCATCCATCTATCCCACCACTTCCCGACCAACGTGGCCATCGTCAATACTGACGCTGCCCGTCCTTCATTTCCCGGCCTACCCAACGAAGCCAAATCAGGCCTACATTACGATAAACGATATCCAATCCTGTATCTAATCCGCTTTCCCCATTCGCAGGCAATCCGACACCCTGTCATGGCCATAGGTCCATACTCCGGATCCGAACTATCCCTCTCGCATTGAAGCTTGCCGGGACCCAATTTCGCCCAGTTGAGGGTTTCCCTGGGCTGCAACCAAACGTCGTCGCGCCCCCGTCACCACCGACGCACCCACACACTCCTCGCTATCGCCAGCGACCCAATATCACCCTTTGTCCAGCTTGTGGTATCTGCTTGTTGGAATACCCATTGAAGGGATCAGCTCTATCAAGGACATTTGATCGGGGCCCGTGACGGCCGGACTCTTCCATCGCCGCTTTCCACTTTCGTGCGACTTTCGTCCGATCCGCCAACCACGACTACCCTCTCTGTCGCCAACCTGGTCGACATTGATTATCACAGAATTTCGACTTGACTGAATTTTCTTCAACCGAGCTACAAGATGTCGAGCTCATTCGAAAAATCGGTCAAAGGCGCCACCAAGATAAAGGTAGGTCAAAGGGAGGCTGGAGCCCACGTCGGGCAGCTCAGCGCGTCTCTCCCAGTCATCGTGCTAATCCCATCTCCTAGGCTGCGCCGCCCAAGACGAAATACATCGAACACATTCTCGTTGCGACACATGCTGGTGAAGCGGGCGTGGGTGAGGTCTTTCGCGCCCTGCAGTTCCGTCTACGAGACTCAACATGGACCGTCGTCTTCAAGAGCTTGATCACCGTCCACCTGATGATCCGTGAAGGCTCGCCCGATGTCACACTTGCCTACCTGTCGAGGCACCCGAACACGCTTGCTATCAGCAGTTTCACCGACGGTTAGTCATTCCTGCAAAGATCAAGGACTGGCCGAGGTTTGTTGGACTTGTATTCTAAACTACTCTACAGCCCAGACACAAGGACGGAACATTCGGCATTACGCTGGCTACCTCGCCGCGAGATCCAAAGCCTACCGAGAAACCAAGTGCGATTGGGTGCGAACCAAGGAATCCAGGCTGGAGAAGCTCTCGGTCGACAAGGGCCTCCTGCGAGAGACGGAGATTCTTCAGAGCCAGATTTCGGCCCTTTTGAAATGCGATGTTAGTGTTCGACTGGGTTTTGCGAAGCATCTCCAAGCGCGACAGTTGCTGACGCCACACAGGTTCTCGAGGGCGAAATCGAAAACGAAATTACAGTCACCGTCTTCAGACTGTTGGTGCTCGATGTGCTAGCTCTCTTCCAGGCATTAAACCAGGGAATGATTAACATTCTCGGTAAGGCAACCCAAAAGCCTTGGCATGTCCTCGTAGCTAACGTGAACAGGCACCTTTTTCGAAATGTCCAAGGTCGATGCCGAAAGAGCCATGGCGATCTACCGCACCTTCACAAAGCAGACCGATTTTGTAGTGCAATACCTCAGCGTTGCACGACAGTACGAGCATCAAACAAGGGTCGAGGTTCCTAAGTTGAAGCATGCGCCGGTTAACTTGGGCCGCCAGCTGGAGGAGTACCTGAGCGATCCGGATTTCGAAGTCAACCGGAGACAATACATTGCTGAGCAGCAGGGCAAGAAGAACAAGGTGGGAGGAGTTTCAAAGCCGACGTCTAGCGCATTCGACTCCAAACCTGCGGCAAACAATCCTTTCCCGAGCAGCACGTTCCCGAGCACGAATGGCCTGTCGCAGCCCAAGACCGAGACCGCCAAGGGCCCTGCCCCCGATCTGATCGACTTCTTCGAGTCTATCGAGCAGAACCAGACGACGATGGCGCCGAATGCACAACAGCACCAGCAACAGCAGCAAATGCCAATGCAGACCGGTTTCGCCAACAACAGTCCCTTCCAACCGCAACCCACTGGGTTCCAGCAGAATGGCTTTGCGCCTCAGCCGACAGGATTCGTGCCGCAACAGACAGGCTTCGCTTCCAACCCGTACCAGCCGCAGAGCACAAATCCGTTCGGCCAGCCTCAGCAGCAACAGCAGCCGCCCCAGCAAACACAACAGCAACCAGCGGCTCAGCCACTGCAGCCCAGCTTCACCGGAGCTGGGTTCGGAGGCTTCTCGCCCCAGCCTTATCAGCCAGGTACACTTGGTTCAATACCGCAAGACTCTGTGGCGAGCTTCCCGACAGGCAACACAGGCATGCTGAGCCCTCAGGCCGGCCAGCAAATCACCAATCCTTTCCGGGCATCCATGTTGATGGCCCAGCAAACGGGCATGTCTACGAACACCGCATTTTCGAACCCAGCGAGCCCCAACATGCAGAGGCAGTCTACAAATCCCTTTGCCAGATCCTCACCTCAAGCCCAGCAGCCATTCTCACCGGCTCCTAGCAATTCACCATTCCAGACTCAACCTCAACCTCAGCAACAAACACAGCAACTTCCCACGATTGCTCCGTTGCAGCCAATGATGACTGGTACCAACCCGTTCGCCAAGAACTTCACCGGCTCTCAACTCCAGCAGCAACGGCCTGCAACTAGCTCTGGAGCCATCGTGCCTCAACCAACAGGCACCACAAACCCCTTCCGTCAGGGCTCCTTTGTCAACCATCAGACGGGCATGGGCTGGCAACATAATCAACAGCCAATGGGTGGTGGACTGGATAATCTCGAGACGACGCCCGTCTTCCCCCGACCCATCCAGCAGAGCCCCTGGCAGACATAATAGCAGTGCTCTTCCAAGAAGCTCTGACCAGCTGTTCTAAATACACCAGCCCAGTCTAACCGGGGTACACCATTTCTTCAAATTTCAGATCAAAGCGTGGCGTTCACAAGGGTCTTTTCTTTTCTGCTTTGTACAATCGAACGATGCGTAAGGTAGACGGGCAACAGGGTTATCACACGAAAACTAAAAGCTCCCAAGTTGGGATGGTGGGACCGGTGGAGGCCGGCGACCGTCGCAGTATGAGTCTGAAAAGATGTATTATTTAGTGAGTCATAACTTAGATGTAATTCTTGCATACAGGTACACAATTTCCCGTGGCCATACAACTTGCTTTGCTATCGAATTTGGGTATTTCATTCCCCTTTGACCCGTCTGTTCTAAGATAGTTATCCTATTTTTGCATGGATTGCCCCAATGAACCCCAAACGCCATCGCTATGCATCCCAAGCCATTCCAAAGCTAGTAAAATAACAGGTCAAAAGACAGAAGAAATGCGGCAGAGCCTTCATCTTCTTCTTCTTCAAAAGACGTCATCCACATCCATCTTCTGCGTCGTCTGGCCCGTACTCGCTACCAAGGCCGCCTCGGCGGTAGCCACCTTCTCGGGCCCCTTTTCATCCTCAATAAACACAGCCAACCCGGAAAAGGCTTCGAACATGGCCCGGCCGAGGTACTCGTCGGCGCTGTACCCGCCCACCACGATGTCGTCCTTTTTCCTCGCCTCGTCGACCCACTGGTTGCGGTACTCCTCCGACGGACCCATCTTGTACCTCTCCATGTCGAGCTTGAGCCCGCCAAAGGGGTCGTAGGGCTTGTTGTCCTCGACCACGCGCTTCTTTTGCTGTTTCAGGCCGCGGATCGACAGGCCGCTTGCGCCGGTGGAGGTGGCGTCGGAGAGGGATCCCACGGCGGACTGGAGGCGGTTCTGGCCGCGCTTCTTGAGGAGCACGCGGTTCAGCGTCTGTTTGGCCTCGCCGGCGTCGCTGCTCGCAAGGCCGTTGAGCATGTCCTCGCGCAGCCGCTGCTCCTTGCGCTTCTCGGCCGCGTCTTCCTGCATCGCCTCGGCGCGACGGAGGCGCGCCTCTTCCTTCTCGGCTTCGAAGCGCGCGACGCGGTCCGCCTCGGATTCTTTCGCCAGCCTGCGGTTCCGCTCGATCTCGGCGCGGTGGGCCTGCTCCCACTCCATCAACCTCGCCTCGGCCGCCTTCTTCTCCGCGTCGGTGCCCGAGATGAGGTCGAACGTGAGCGTCTCGACCCATTCCAGGTACTCGTTGTAGTCGGCCAGCGTCTCGAAGTCGTCTTCGACCTTGTTGAGGACGGCGGCGACGCGCCGGCGTATGTCGACCTCGCGCTCGACGGTGAGGTCGCCAAAGTAGGCCGACTTGAAGCCCTTTTTGCGGAGGGTCTTGTGGCAGCCTGCGTAGGGGCACTGGTTGGGGCCGTCGGAGAAGATGCGGGCGACGCAGTTTGCGCACATTGGGTGGTAGCATTCCGGGTTGATGAGGAATTCGAGGTCCTTGTTGAGGTAGCGCATTGTTTTGCAGACGGGGCAGATGTCGTTTGTCGAGGAGGGGGCTGGGGCCGCTGTTGCGGAGGTGGAGGCGCGGCGGGTGGCCATGTTGGAGGGCGGGTGGTGATGTGTCGTCTGGGAGGAGGGTTCTTCGTGAATGATGGTCGGGGAGATGTGGTCTCCCGGGGAGGAGAAGGAGGAAGAGAGTCCGGGTGATTGGGGCCTATCTCAAGGTGGCATCGGACATCAAATTCGATTAATCTGATGTTTTCAACGGCAGAAAGGAAGACGTGGCAGGTGTCGAGGAAGGAAGCCTCTTGCTCGGGCTATGACGATGATGCTTTGTCTGCAATTGCGATAAAGCTGAACGACAAGTCGACGTGCAAGGCTGACGGGGAAGGATTTATTAAGCCGAGGTGATTGGTTGGAGCTTCCAGGTAGACCACAGCAGGGGGGGGGGGAGGGGCAGGGGTCTCACAGCTAGCAGCTACCCCTCCAAATATTCCATCAGCCTTTCTTGCGCTTGCGTTCCACTGCCTTCGACCGTCAACACCACCTCAAAGAACTGCGACAAGATGGCCGACAACGACAAGCCAGGTAAGTCTCTGCTTCTCTGAGAACCTTTGCCAAGATTTTCAAATTCGAAACGGAAACAAGCCACGAGTATGAATTACGTGCTGACAAATGCTTCTCGACAGAGCTCACGCCCGCCGAGGAGGCCGCCGCCCGCGCCAAGGAGACGGAGGAGCAGAATGCGTTGCCGTACAAGTGGCAGCAGACCATCGCCGACGTCGACATCACCTTCAGCGTTCCCGGCAACTACAAGAGCAGAGACCTCGTCATCGACATCAAGAAGACCAAGCTCTCTGCCGGTGTGAAGGGCCAAGAGCCCATCGTCAGCGTACGTCACAGTTTCCTCTTCCTTTCTTCTCCCCATCTTCCCTTGTGCCTATATAGCTACGGCAAGTACGATGCATGAAAGACAAAGTTCGCTGACACAACGATGAAATCACAGGGCGACCTCTCCCACCCCATCCTCGTCGACGACTCAACCTGGACCTTATCCTCGGCGCCCGACGGCACAAAGACGGTCGAGATCCACCTCGACAAGGTCAACAAGATGGAGTGGTGGGCGCACGTCGTCACCACGGCGCCCAAGATCGACGTCTCCAAGATCACCCCCGACACGAGCAAGCTGTCCGACCTCGACGGCGAGACCCGCGGCATGGTGGAGAAGATGATGTTTGACCAGCGCCAGAAGGAGCAAGGCCTGCCCACGTCGGACGAGCAGAAGAAGTTTGACATCCTCAAGAAGTTCCAGGCCGAGCACCCGGAGATGGACTTTAGCAACGCCAAGATTAGCTAGACGTTGAGGCATTCTGTCTTTCACGAGAAATGAGTCTAAATCAATAAAAGTTTACAAATGTTCATGACAGATTGATATAGGGAAAGATTTATGCTTTGAACGATCACCATCTTGTATTGAATCATATCTTAATGCTTTTTCTGAGCTGAATAGCTATGTCAGGGGTGAAACGAAGAGCCAAAACCACCGAATGGCAAAAGCCAAAGGTTACGGCATCAGAGAGCCCATGCGTAGACCATTGCTCTTGGATCCGCTAGTAATGGTGAAGCAGATTAATTGCTGCGACCCATCAATTGTCAGATTGATAAGCGGTCCGTTTCGCCATTAGACCAATTTCCTCCCAGTGAATGTAATCGAGTTGGAGAGAAAACCCACGACATCACATGAAACCAACACTGTAAGAATTAGTGGACAGTAGCAAAGTATGAGAAGCAAGACACGACAGGATTCATGAACTACAGAATCGCTGACCGCGTGGGGAGGCCCAAAGTAAGGTCTCTATCAATCCAATATGCTATCCGTTCTATCCACCTCTCCGCGTCCGAATGGATGGCGTTGCAGGGTAAGATCTAGACGGGAACAATGGATTGGGGAACAATGAGTCAGTGCGATCACTGGATTCGGGAACTGCAACGTTTCGTTTGTTAGCCGTGACTCTTGACGATGGAGTGAAGTGCAAACAAGAAAGTAGCAATAGCATCGAAATCAGAAATTAGAACCATATCCACACATTGGTATTGAGATAGGGATAACTGTATAAAAAATTGTCTTGGTCATCAGGTCGATGGGGAGGAAGCAAAAGCAAGTAAATATTCGTCTTACCTAGCATAATGTGTCACGGCGAGCTCAGACGGGGGCATCCAAGTAGGTACGGATGGTGAAGCTGGCGTATTCTGTGGTAACTTTGCATGATGTTAGCCAGACTCCTAGGACAAGATTGTCAAACTTGAGTAGCAGAAAGAAGGAAATCAGAAATTAGAACCGTATCCACATAATGTTATTGAGATAGGGATAACTGTATAAAAATTGTCTTGGTCATCATTTTGGGGAGGGAGTTGAGGTTAAGAAAACAATCAGTCACATACCTATTCGTCTGGGTCCGACCAGATCACTGCTTGGAGAGACGTGCAGCTTTGAACTTGCTGATGCGCTGACCACCATCAGCTTCGTCAAGAGGCCGGACCACGGAGGTATCCTCTTGGAGGAAGCCACCCTGTTTCTGGATGAAGTTCCGCCGTTGTCGATGATACTCGTCGGCGAGATCCTGGTCGATGAAGTCCTCGTCAAAAGCGTTCTCGTCCTGAGGTTTGCTCTCCTTCTCGACGACCGCGTCTGCCAGTGTCTTCCCCTCAGGTCCCGTCGGAGCTGTGGGCCTGTCCTGGTCGATGAAGCGTGATGGCACATCGCGCGGGCCCATGGGAACGAAGCCATCATCAACGACCGTCGGCGCTGCCTTCTGCTTCTTGAACCGAGACGCCTTGCGGGTTGACTTGGCCTCCGCTTGTTTGGTGGGGCCGGTACGCTCCACAATATCGCTGAGAGGCTCGACAAAGGGCTCTGGAGGTGGTTGAGGAACAGTCGGCGGCACGGCAGCGGTGTCGGCAACGCTATCTGGGGCGACGTCCAGGCTCTGTGCGAAGCGGACGCTCTTCTTACTGTCGTCCGCGTCCGTCGGGGAAGAGGTCCTCAGGATGGACGTCGTAGGCACTGGCGACGGCTTGGCAGCTTCGACTGCCTTGCCCTTGTCACCTGAGTTAACGATGATGCGACCAATGCCCTGTTGGTCTTCGTCTGACTCCTGGTCATCTGCTTCTGACTTCTGAGTGAAGCGAGACTTGACCCCGAGTCGCTTCTCGAGCTCCAACATCCGCTGATGGTACCCGTCGTCCAAGACGCTGGAAGTGGACCGACCAAACTTGTCTTCTTCATCGTCGTCCTCAAGATCAGAGTATTCATACTCCCAGTCCTCGTCATCGTCGGCAGAGCCATCGCCATCCTCAAGGTTGAGTTCAGCCACGACTTGGCCCACCTCTTCCATGCCGTACTTCAGCATCTCTCGGCGAAGGAAGGCGTCTTCCTCAGACTCGTCTTCGGGAATGACGGGCGCTTCGCGGCTGATGTTTTCCTGGCTCCTGGCGGTCTGCATGATCTCTTCAACTCGTTGGGCGTTCCTCGAGACCTGCTGCTCTGCCGAGGGCTTGGTGTCTTCGGCGAATGAGACGGACTTCTTGACTGCCACAGAGTCGTCAACCTCTGCTTCGGGAAGTGACTCCTTCACAGACTGCGCGGGATCCTGGGCTGCTGATGTTGAGTCGGATGCCTTAGCCAGAGGCTCGTCGGTAACGTCTTCCACGATTGGTTCTGTCTTCTCCGTCTGCGAGGGTTGGCCGGTCGGGATGTCCTTGACGCCTGCCTTCTCCAGGATCTCCCTGATCTGAGCGCTCGAGTCGCCAGGCTGCTGCAGTCGGCTGGAGAGCACATTACCCTCTTCGTCGAGCTCCTCGATGATCTCCGTAATAGGCAAGCCATCCTCATCCCGCACATCAGGGTTGCTGAGAACGCTGGCGGCAGCGTGCTTCTCTTCCGCAGTCTCGAGCTGCTTCTCAAGAGTGGCGATGTTCTTGGAAACATAGTCGATGCGACGCGAAAGCAGGTTGACAATCTGGTCGGCAGGCTTCAGATCAATGCGCCCAAAAAGGTCGTTGATCTCTTTCTTGTCGACAACCTCGCCCTCGAAGTCTCTGCGAATGCGCGCAAGAGCCTCCCGACTGGCAGGCTGGGGAACCGACTCGATTTCCTCTCTCAAGGACTCGTATTCAGCGTCCCATTTTTGCCAGTGCTGCAAAGCCTTCTGCAGCTTAGCAACAGAGTCTTCAAGTTGCAGTCGATGCTTTTCCAGGTCCAGGAAACTGTCTCTAACTGCTGCCATGGTGAAGGAAAAAGAAGGGGAGAGAAGGGAAATTGGGAAGTTCTTGGAAGCAAGATGAGGAAAAGGAAAAAAATTCCCTGTCGGAAGGTAGGGGTTCGGAGCTCTAAGAAAATTAGGTAATCTTCTAAGGTGCAGGTTGTTACGTAAGGCCCACCTAGCTTTCCAGCAACACGTCCCTGTACGCATACCCGTAAGGTACTTTGGATGGGGGCCCTCACCTCCCCTGCAAAAGGCAGTACTGCAGCGTTCACTGATACCCGTTGAAACTCGGCGGCGAAGAACACCTCACGATTCACTAACGGATTCAATTCTTATGAGACAGACACGCTAAACGAAATAGACACTCTCAGCTATAGGAGAACCTCGCGTTATTTAAACTGTGAACGCGCCAAAAGCTCGGGATTGAAGCCAAAACGGTTCAGACTCTCATTCTCACCTGCTTGAGCCATTCATGATAAGTAGATGGATTCGCGCCTACTGATATCAGGAACTAAGATAAAGAAAATTGTTTACATCAAATGACTATCAAATCATCATTTCTATTCATCTCGGAGGCTTTGGTATTCCGACTCAGAATGCTAAGCTCTAGGTCTGATGCCAATCATGTACTTTCCCGCTTTCAGATGAAGGACCGTGAAATGAACAAGTTCATGAGACTGATTGGGGATTAGACACAGGTCATACCGCCGAAGTAAAGACACAAGCGTGAGCCGCAACTCCGTCCACGCGAATCTGCTCAGTTTGTCAGTGTGACATCCGAAGTGACAGTCATACGGTGACTTACTGTTTTCCAATACAGTTTCGTGATCCCGCAGAAAAGGGGTAATACGCTGTTTTATCGCTGGCGGCCATGCCCTTGTAGTCAGACAGCCACCTCTCGGGGACGAACTTTTCTGCGTCAGGCCACTGCTTCTCGTCCCAGTGCAGTACAGTGGTGTTTGCAGTCACTCTAGTCTGTTGGATGTCAGTGAGGTCCAGCAAAGATAACATTGACTTGAGTGTCTCGCAGGACAGGCGGCTTACCCCAGCCGGGATCAAGTGATCAGACAGAATCACATCTTCGTCAGTTTGCCTTTGTAGTCCTAGTAAAATGTCAGTGAATTACACATTCATACTCGATGTAAAATGCGAAACCCTACCGCCAGTTGCCGGAGGAGCAAGCCTCATCGTCTCTTTCAGAACAGCGTGCAAGAACGGCAAATCCGTTGTCTGATCATCCGAAACCGGCGAATTAGACAAGGGAAACCTACCGCGGATCTCGTTGACAAGTCTCTGGTAGGAAGGGGGGTCGTTTAGCAAGAACATCATCGCGAATGTGAGCGTGCTGGCTGTTGTCTCGCTACCAGCCAACCAGAAGACGAGCATCTCGGAAAACACCTCGATGCGCGACAGAGTCTCTGGGTTTCTCTCGTGCGTGTCTAGTAGCAACTGTAGCAGGTCAGGCTTGGCTAGCTTATCGGTCGACGCTTGTCTCTTTTCAATGATATCACTGATGAGTTGAGCCAGCTCGGGGTCCCGGAACTTGGGTAGGAAGGGGATATACTTCAAGAAAGGCAGGAGTTGATACTTTTTCCCGCCAATCGTTAGTCATTTCGTCTCGCCACCAACTGGGGTAACACTTACAATGGTGCCCCTCTTGAAGCTCTCAGAGAACTTCTTGCGGATAGGATGCTCCCCATTCTTCACCAACTCAAACGAGCCACCAAACGCGGTAGCGCTCATGATGTCGGATGCCAGGCGACCCATCAGGTTCCATGCATCAATGACGGTCTCGCCTCCATCCCGGGTGCATTGGTTGTCGATAAACTCCTCGAGCGCCCCGATGCAACTCATCTTCAGCGGCTCAAGGCCCTTGAGGTAACTGATGGCGAAGCCGTGGGAGAAGAGCCTTCGCCGGGTGCGGTACTGCGCCCGATCTCGCATCGTGAAGAGCGTCACGCCGTCTTCATTTTGGCTGAACTTTTCATACAGGACGCTCTTTCGGAGATCCATTCCGACTAGAATCTGGTTGACGGACTTTTCGTCGGAGACGAGAACCAGATCGGGGGCTTTTCATTAAGGTGTCAGCAAAGGTCATCCTGTTTAAGAGACGCGTATTACAACTCACCGACTCGAACAATGTCGCCATATTTGCGGTTGTAGTTGATCCCCTGCTCAAACGCCTTGCCTCTGACGACTGCCACCATCCAGGGCAAAGCCGTGAACCTATTGAGCCACGGCCCGGGTATTTTGGCCAATGGGCCTGTGAGGCCATTCCATGATGCCTTGAGGACCTTCGATGCTCCGTAGGCAAGTATGAAGACAAGGCATGCTGACAAGAGAGTCTTCACATCCGGGTTGCCCAGCCGCACGACAATCAGTTCGTTTGAAATCCCCATCGCAATGTCGGGCTGGCTTGTGAGGTAGCCGGCGTTGATGTGAAGGATTATCGACGACCTTCTCCTCTTGAATGACTTTTGGAAGCCAACGCTGACTTTGTGCAGTAATCATGAAAGTTTTATAAATGAGTCCCCGTAAAGTTTGCGGTTCTTCATCCCATATATTTATCATAGGGTTGGTATTAGAAGGCCGGATTTGCTCGTGGGTGTAGCTTTCCGCCGCCCCCGCTCCAGACCGGAGGTTCAACATGAGCTGGAATGTTTACATCCATGTAAGACAAGGCCCAAAGCAGAGCCGATTTATCGATCTGCAGGCATCCTTCGTGGCGTAGACTCGGTAAACACTTGACATTTCAACGATAAGCACTAGGACTTGGCCGAGCCTCTTTCCTTCTTTCTTTCTGCGTATGGAGCATATGAAGTCATCTCCGAAAAGCTCACGAATTGGACAAGTCTAACAGTCCCGATCGGTGGAATGTCAATACTTGTTCCTTTCACGCCCCGTCTTTCCCTAGCATCGCGTCGTCTTGCAGATCAAGCTGTCGAGCCAAGTCTCTAGTTCGATGCAGGTCGCACACGATACCCGAGACAAATCTAAAAATGCCTAAATCGAGTCGCCGAGCATACTTTGCGCCTATGAAGTAGGTTGTACACCCGACCGCCAATATAGAGACGGAGACGAGCCACAGGTCCCAGTTTCTTGCCTTCCACACCGGCATCCGCATGTCTGCCGTCTGAAGGTGCATCGGTCGCAGCGCTCTTCCGCCTACCGAGCGCAACTCGTGATCAAAGATCACTTCCTCGACTATGCCGGCAGCAACTTCTTTGCGCCGGGATGCTACGCGTGCTATCCTCTTCATACGCTCAACATTCCTGCCAAAGGATTCGTCAACGTCGGAGACGATTCGGCCGACTTTTTCTGAGATCTCGGCGGTGGTGAAGTCGAACTTGTCCAGGGCGAGGCCGACGCCTGCTTCGACGAGTCGGGCGCTGTTGGCGAGTTGGTCGAAGAAGAAGCCCAGAATCAGAGTCCGAGTTCCGTGGAATAGGGTCTCATTTGCGCTAGAACTGCCTCCTTGAGTGAGATAGAGCTTGGTGATGGGATGATCGAGAATAGCTCGCTACGGTGCGAAACAGGGGACTCGAATATCGGGGTGCTTCTCATTGAGAATCTCACCAACTAAGATCCTTCCACCATGAGTTCGCTCGACATGTGCTGATCTATCAAAATATAGCCTCGCTGACTTCCCGATAGACCAGATGACGCCGCTGATATACCCAGCATCTATAGCCATGACAAGAGCGTTGAGCAGCTTCATTAGATCTGCTTCCGGAAGTGCGATATGAGTGCCTAGAGCGACATACACCGTCTTATCATGAGACTTTAGAAACGCGGTAGCTTTCATCGAGTGGAGAGTACTCATCCCCCAAGATCGGTCCGACCACTTGCATAAGTGGAGGCAAGTCTTTGTCCGGTTCAAGTCCAAAGAACGAGTTGACAAACACAAGATGGTTCGGTTCAGGAGCCATCGGAACCGAATGCTTCACGCCGGGTCGTTTCCGCATCTCCCGTGTCCAGCGGGTCCATACAAAAATGTGCGGCAGCGCCCAGAACAAGACCATCTCGTTCCTGACACGCGACCAAATTGAAGCCTTCTCCGACGTGGGCGTGAAAAGCCCGGCTGGGCGGGGATATAGCTCACAGGCGCCAAGAGATACGGCATCTGCGGCCACATGACGGCAATGGGGACGCCAAACTCGATCATCGTATCCTTGGCCGCTGCCTCGGTCTACAACGACCATGTCAGGCTTGGTGTCTGAGTCGAGCATGAGTTCGCTCAGATGAACTCAAGTGTCCGGTCAGTAGGGGCCAAAGAGGTACTTGGATTCCATGACCCAACGCCGTGGCTGGGCCGCCACTGGATCATGCGCGCGTAGGGCGCTTCGGCGTCGACGTTTGGCATGGCTGGACCGAAGCTATGGAAGCGTGTGATGGATGGATAGTCTGACTCCCAGTGCTCCTGGCCGGAGTTGGTTCCGAAGTGGACTTCGTGGCCGCGGGCTGCGAGTACACCGCCGAGCTCGAGGATTGGGGCGGCGTGGGTGAAGCCGTTGACAGTCGAGCATAGGAGGATGCGCCGCTTGGGGGAAGAGCTTGGGTCTGGCATGACTTTGAGTGTTGCTGTCGATCATATTTCGAGATTCATGATGCCCATGGATGAACACAGCTTCTGGGAGACAAAGCACTTCTCTTTGCCGTCACGAGGGAGTTTCCCGGAAGTGGGCTGATTGTTGGTGAGATTGGGCTCATTATGCCGCAACCCTCTGACATCACTTTCCCCGACTTGTCATCGCTAGAGAGGCATGGAAGAAGAAAGCTACACAAGTAGTCGTCAAGGTCCTGTTAGATCTCAATCCAAGTAAAGTGCCATTAGCCGCATGCCAAAGTACAGGCTGATACAAGAGATAGCGAGCCATAATTTCATTGTAGATGAATCTCATTCCGGCTAATAAAAAGGAAATATGATTACGAGACGATTCTGCGGGTTGGTCCAGTTGATTTGACTTATAACCGGCTGTGGTTAAACGCTGTGCCTTAGCTGGCACCAGCGATGTCCTCTTTTGGCCAGAATGGAGATTCTTCTTGGTACATTCTACTGTCGTGCTTTGTTTTTCATCCTCTGTTGAGACTCTACCTAAACTCCAATAGTGTTTTTTCAGTGTTATCGGTCTGTTGACATTGCAGCCGTTGGGTGCCGGAAGCCGGACTGTGTAGCCTCCGCAGACGGACGGTACTCTCTCTAGGCAACAGTCACTGATACTAGTCGAGTCGACTTCGCTGCCGTCAATTACTCGATTCTCTTTTCGAAGAAAACGTACAGCTGACCCGTATATAACGAGAATCATCGTATTCTCACTGATGCAAATTTATGGGCTTGAAGTCGTTCATGGGGTTTAATTGACTACTAGGTACCTGGTGCACGGCGTCGGCTACCGCTGATCTTATCTAGTAACTTGATCCAACTTTGGCCATGAATGACTGTTAACAGCAGATAGTCGAGCAAGCCGACGACACGAGAACGGTATTCGAGAGATGCAGGCCAGTATTCCTCATCTAGACCTTCCCACAGGAACTAGGCCAAAACAACAACGAAACCGAATTAGCAAGAGGGGAATCACATCTCCCAAGTACCTTACGTATAAATACTCCTCCTCTGGCCGGTTTAAATTAGACTTTCCGTAAGTCGTTGATATCTTCGTGACCAGAGTACCCAGCCCAACACCTCTGCTACCCCGAACGAAACGGGACCTCTTCACATCTCACGGCGTTTGCGAGGAGAGCTCTGTGCTTCCTTGTGACCAGGCTTCGCCTTGACCCCCGCCATCATCTCGTCTCTCTCTCGCTTCAAGCCTCTTGGCTGATCGATGGCGATTTGCAGGCCAAGTGGACTCGCAGGGAAAATCTGCTGAAGTCCGGGTTGTATGATACCAAGATTTGAATGCATCTGTGTTTGGCCGCTTGCCCCGTAGATGTTGAGATTCAGTTCCCTCGGTAACATTGCCGAAGGGGAAGGAAGCCCATCTCTCAAGTCGGTCATGTCAGATTCTAAGTTCCCGGAGATGGCCTCGCCTTGAGCCTGAGGCGCAGCCGCAAGTTCCGTATTTGAGGCCGACTGATTGTGCTCCTGAAGCAACATCTGTGTTGGTTGGGTCTGTTGGGGACGCTCTTTTCCCCAGAACTGACAGCCCGATGGTGTCCAAGTTACGCCCATTTCCTGCGGGCATCCTAGGAAATTCCGTGGCCATTTGTACTGATCACCTCCAACTTCATACGAGAGTACGCCAAGACCTAAGTACAGGGCCCTGTTACCACCGGTTATACCATACTTAGCCTCCGCCATCTCCTGGAACTCTTTGACTAATCTTGGAGTGTACGCCTCGAATCCAGGTGCCTTGGAGACATTTTGCTGCTGACACCAACCCCCTAGTCGAGCGGTTTCCAGACGTGTGAGAAGCATTATCAGCTTTGGGCTGTCTTCCCATGGCGATGGGGTCTTCTCTCTCCACGCGAAGTGCTTGAGATACTCCTCATTCACCCAGTGACAGAGGAATGTGTCCGGCTTGGATGGCTGAATAATTTCAGCGAAACACTTCGCCACAGCGGCATCGCTAAGCATTGTTTTGCGTGGCCAGGCCAGGAAGACGTAGTGCTTGGGTTCTGCATATATATCCCGCGTCTCGATTTCGTTGAGAAATTCCAAGTAAGTTTTCGAAGAGCTCGGTTTTGTTTCCATTTTTTCTGGACTTTTTCGATAAAGAATAGAAAATGACTCAAGTAATGGCTCCCGTTGTTTTTCCCACAGATCTCACTGCTTTTCGATTGCTATTCTGGAGTATCTGGCACGAAGCATTGCGACAGCGGATGATCTTTAACCACTGCGCAATGCTTTCTCCGGTAGTTCTACGAATGTTCATACCCCAATGGCATTGGAGATACAGATTCCCAGATATTACTTCTCAAGGTAGCGAAGGTTCATGTCCGAACAATTAGCTAGCTATTTCGACCTCGCAACTGTGGTTTCAACATTGATGACTCTTTGCCACTGACTGGCGAACCCATAGTCACGATTTGCCGGCGCATTGTATAGCAAAGGAAAAAAGGCTTTCCAAGGCAGCCGCTAGGCTCCAGATTCATAGTCTTGAAAGAAGCTCACAACACCTTTTGCCGGACTCATATCTCATCTCGTGACCTGCAGTCAGTTCCCCGAGTCAACATCACTTCAACGGTTTGTCATTGTATTCAGGAAACTGTGAGTAGCTCGGGGAGTACCCCACAAGCCGGTGAACCCGGCAGCTTCTTCTCACGTCCAAGAAGAAGAATCCCTAGCCAGCTAGAAGCCCCAATGGTTTGCTGCAAGGCGATGGAGCTCACAAGGGGAATTTCAGCGACTATTTTATCCAACCAGTATCTGTAGAGGCAGCACATCCAGGTATAAACGTGAAGTCGCGACAAGCAATTTACTTACACGCGGCCGGGCGCTTCTTCGGCGATCGACAACCCCATGGGACGATGTGAGATGGGGAGAGCCGCGCCGTCTGCGTAAACTCCGCAAGACTCCGCACATTTCCCCAACTTCTGGCGCCATTCCGTCACCAGATACACCAACATTCCACCACCTTAGCTCCCTCTCCCATCCCACATCAACCGCTTCGCGATTAAGTTCGCACAAACTCAGGCCCTACGGCCAACGGTAGCTTCTTCTCTTTACCCCAGAGAACGATCTTTTCTCGGGGCTAACCGTCATTCCATCTCTCTCCCCCATCTTTGCCCCCCGGCATTCGTCTTGACCCTCCGCATTAGTCTGTGCGGGGAAGCTTAAGCTACACCGCAGTCTGGCCGACGACTTCCTTCTCACGATGATGGTTCGTTTTCTTTCTTCCTGTAAGACCAATTGAAGCAGGTATTCGTTTGGTAATCAATTGACCGCGACTACAACGCTACACTACTCTCACTACCTTCAGAAAAATGACGCTCAACAGCTGGATGGATTGGGGAGGATGGAGGGGTATAAGAACGGCGGCAAACGCCTTGGTCTCGACGACTACTCTCTGTTGGATCGCCGCCTTCCTCATCTTCTCTCAGTGTCTCTGGATGCTCTACACCCGCCGCTCAAAGCAATACCCGAGCAAGAAAGGAGAGAAAAGACACGACACACAGCGCAACAACGGCAACATGTTCACCCGCGTACCCTTCCTCCTGTCGGCAGTCGCCATCATGGCGCTCTGCGCGATGGCGAGGGTCGCGGAATTCGGCCAGCCGTTTGCACGACAGTACCTGGCCTCGACCACGATCAGCAGTGGTCACTCCCAGTTCACCGTCCCCGCGTCGGCAGACGAGGGAGCGCATCTCATTCCCAACATTGAGGACCCGGAGGCCAAGGACCCGCAAAGCGTATGCCCGGGTTACACTGCCTCCAACGTCCAGACGACATCGCACGGATTCACCGCCAACCTCGATCTCGCCGGCTCAGCTTGCAACTTGTACGGGAACGACGTTGAGGCTTTGACGCTAGTCGTTGACTACCTGGCGACGGACCGCCTTCACGTACAAGTGTTGCCGCGGTACCTGGGTGCTGAGAACAACACTTGGTTCATTCTTCCTGAAGAGTTCGTCCCGAAACCCGCTGCAGACGGGAAGGCGAGCTCTGATGGCTCAGACAGTGATTTGGAGTTTAAGTGGGCAAACGAGCCCACTTTCGGCTTCAACGTGTCCAGGAAGAGTACTGGAGATGTTTTGTTCACGACCACAGGGACTAAGCTTGTATTTGAAGATCAATTCTTCGAGTTTTCTTCGCCGCTTCCTGAGAATTACAACCTGTATGGACTTGGTGAAGTTATCCATGGCTTCAAGCTGAACAACAATCTGACTCGTAAGTAACCACTGTACCGGGCCAAGGCGTACCAAAACTCACAGGAATAGGCACACTCTACGCGGCTGATGTCGGTGACCCAATCGATGGAAATATCTATGGCTCTCACCCGGTCTATCTCGATACCCGCTACTACCAAGTCGATGCCGATACCAAGGAGGCCGTCTACGTCGCCAATGCCACGGACAAGAATGCCGACTACAGATCTTACACCCACGGAGTTTTCCTCCGCAACGCTCACGCCCAGGAGATCTTGCTCCGGGAGTCCAACATCACCTGGAGAGGCCTTGGAGGCACCATTGACCTCTACTTCTACGCTGGACCGACTGCTGACGCCGTTATGAAGTCCTACCAGAAGACCACTGTCGGTCTGCCCGCCATGCAACAATACTGGACCTTCGGCTTCCACCAGTGCAGATGGGGCTATACCAGCTGGGATAACCTCCAGGAGATCGCAGATGACTTTGCCAAGTTTGAGATTCCTCTGGAAACTCTCTGGGGTAAGTTGTTCCGTCCCAAAGTCGCCCACGATTCAGAACTGACAGCTCCCAGCCGACATCGACTACATGAACCAATACCGCGATTTCGAAGATGACCAAAACTCCTGGGGCTACGAAGACGCCGCCCGCGTCCTCGGCAATCTTCACAAGAACGGCCAACATTTTGTCCCCATCGTCGACTCGGCCATCTACGCCCCCAATCCGGAGAACGCCAGCGACGCCTACCCAACATACGACCGCGGCGTCGAAGCCGACGCCTTCATGCTCAACCCGGACGGATCCCTCTACGTCGGCGCCGTCTGGCCTGGCTACACCGTCTTCCCCGACTGGGTCGGCGCCGTCTTTGGCCGCAGCAAGACGTTCGAGTGGTGGACCACCGAAATGGTGACCTGGTTCCAAAAGGTCGCTTTTGACGGCATCTGGATCGACATGTCCGAAGTCTCCTCCTTCTGCGTAGGAAGCTGCGGCAGTGGGAACCTCACCCTCAACCCCGTCCACCCTCCCTTCTCGCTCCCCGGCGAACCGGGCAACGAAGTCCTCCAGTACCCCGAAGGCTTCAACAAGACCAACGGCACCGAGGCCGCCTCCGTCTCCGCTCTCTCTGCCTCACTGGCAGCCGCCCAGTCCACCTCCGCAACCGCAGCAACCTCGGCATCTGCCACTCCCACAACGACATCAACAACCTCGTACCTCCGCACCAAGCCCACACCAGGCGTCCGCAACGTGAACCACCCCCCCTACGTAATCGACAACATCCAAGGCGACCTCGCCGTCCACGCCGTCTCCCCCAACGCAACCCACCACGGCGGCACCCAAGAATACGACTTCCACAACCTCTTCGGCCACCAGATCCTCAACGCCACCTACAACGCCCTCCTCTCCGTCTTCCCCGGCAAGCGCCCCTTCATCATCGGCCGCTCCACCTTCGCCGGCTCCGGCAAATGGGCCGGCCACTGGGGCGGCGACAACGCCTCCCTCTGGGCCTACATGTTCTTCTCCATCCCGCAGGCCCTGTCCTTCAGCATCTTCGGCGTCCCCATGTTCGGCGTCGACACGTGCGGCTTCAACGGCAACACCGACATGGAGCTCTGCGCCCGCTGGATGCAGCTCAGCGCCTTCTTCCCCTTTTACCGCAACCACAACGTCCTCGCCGCCATCCCGCAGGAGCCCTACCGCTGGTCCGCCGTCGCCGAGGCCTCGCGCTCCGCCATGGCTATCCGCTACGCGCTGCTGCCGTACATGTACACGGCGTTCTACAAGGCGCACACCCTCGGCGACACCGTCATGCGCGCGCTGGCGTGGGAGTTCTCCGACGAGCCCTGGCTCGCGGGCGCGGATCGGCAGTTCCTCCTCGGCCCGGCGGTCATGGTCACCCCCTGTCTCGAACAAGGCGCCAGCACCGTCGGCGGTGTATTCCCCGGCGTTGGCAAGGGAACTGTCTGGTATGACTGGTACAACCAGACCGCCGTCACCGGCGTCTCACCCGGACAGAACGTGACGATCGATGCGCCGCTGGGTCACATCCCGGTCTACCTCCGCGGCGGATACGTTATCCCGACGCAGGAGCCCGCGCTGACGACGACTGAGAGCCGGGCGAACCCTTGGGGTCTACTGGTTGCGCTGGACGGCGAGGGTGCTGCTGCGGGCAGCCTCTATGTTGACGACGGCGAGAGCTTAGAGCAAGAGGCTACGCTCACTGTCGAGGTAATAATTTCCCCCTTTTCATCACAGTTCAAATTCAAAGCGGTGGAAGTAGACGCTAACATGATGAGCAGCTCTCCTCTTCCGACAAGTCGCTCAAGGCCACTCCATCTGGCGAGTTCAAGGACTCGAACCCGCTCGGAAACGTCACCGTTCTGGGAGTCCAGAGCGACGTTTCTTCGGTATCTCTTAACGGCAAAGCCCTGGACGGAGCGAACTGGTCCTTTGACTCGTCTTCTCGCGTTCTCCACGTCACTGATCTGCAGTCTTTCACATCTGCTGGTGCATGGTCATCTTCGTGGGAGCTTACTTGGTCCTAAAGGCCTTGGGGTAAAAAACAAACCACCTCAGGCTCGGATCTTTGGTGTGTTGAAGAGTATCTAGATAATGTTGCGGTGTGTAGGAGCGAATGAGCAGTGGATGTCACACCAAAAAGGGAGTTTAACTGTACCCGAAGAAGACTGTAAATAGCAAGAAGTAGCCGAAAAGAAGAAAAGAGATACTCGCTTCTTTAGCAAGATGCAACCATCTCAACGCTCAGAGGTCCTAAATTTACCTTATTGTTCAGTATCAAATGCAATCAAGTCATGTGCGCTCATAGTATTCAGAACCAGTGCAAATGCATCTGCTTCCCAGTGGCATTGACTACCCGATTCTCCAGATCCCCGAATCTAGGGCAGTACTATCAGTGTGAATATTGAAATTTGGTATCATTGAATACGTTATGGCCCAACATCCAAGCAATGCTGCCACGCTCAGCCAGCTATCCCCTGACGACCCCCAGGCCTTCGCAAACTTCACTCGACCTCGCAGTCCTAGTCGACGCAGCAAAGTCTCATGCCCAGACATGCCCCCATCACCTCTTCCGTCAAAGCCTCTCTCAGTGGCCGCCACGTCCACGGTATCTCTTATTCCCGCCGCCGCGCCACCGGCCTCCACGACCACCATGCCTCCGATCTCCACCGTGCCCCCGATCATCATGCATATCCCGCTGCCTGTCCCCCCGATGCTGCTGAAACATCTCGCCATCCTCCCTCTCCCCATCCTTCTTGATCTCCCCCTCCTCGCCCTCAACCTTGGCACTCGGCTTCTCCAAATCCGTCCTCCACCGCGGGTGCGCGCCGTACTTGCACCCGGGACCCTCGGGGCAGAATCCGACCAGGTAATACACGCACAGCTTCCTCCTCACGTGCTTCTTGCTACACCGCGGACCGAGCGGACAGAAGCCCTTGTCGTAGTGCGGGCAGGGCGGCAGCTTGGACTGCGGGTCAATGTGCAGGTACAAGCACTCCTCGCCGTTGGAGCAGTACCCGTTGCGCATGAAGAAGTTGCACTCGGGCATCTTGCGGAGGTTGTACTCGTGCAGGAACTCGCACGACTCGCCCTTTTTGCAGAGGCCGCGGAGCCAGTGCTTGCAGACCAGGGACGGCCCGCCCGTAGGGTTCGAGGAGCTGGAGGAGGCGTGGCGGTCCGGGCAGGCGGCGCCGAGGGGGCAGTGGCCTGCCAGGAAGGGCTTGCATTGCGGGCGGTCCGAGGAGAGCTCGTGGCGGTAGGTTTGGCGGAGGAAGGGAGTGAAGGCGAAGGAGGTTGCTGTCGCGGCGTGGGTGAGGATGTGGTTTGTTTCTGGGCGGGGGGCGACGGCTGCCATGTTGGCCGGGTTGCTGGGCGCTCCGGAGAGCTGCAGGGACGGTGGTTGAGCTTGAGGATTGTGTCGATGTCTTAGCTTGTGGAAAGTCGCGAGAAAGTAAGGTAAGTCGCGTTGTCGTTTAGGTGTGGTTTGCGGGTTGGATTGAATATAAATGCTGGGTCGTATGGGGGCTCCGTTGAATTATTGCAGCTGGGTGGTGTAGCGTAGGTGTTGTGGTAGGATAAATGACGAAGAGCGACCGCAGAGTTGGCTTTGGAAGAGTTGTGCTTGATAGCTTGAATCGAAATGCGACACAATCAAGAGGAAGCTTGCTGGAAGCTTCAATTGATTGAGGGCCCATATAATTAGTCAGCTGATACTGTGGTGGGGCAGGTGTCTTTCGGGTCCGAGTGGGCCCGGCCTTCGGCGAGGTAACTCGGCTTCCCGTCCATACGTGGACTTATCCGTCTTCTAACAACATCATAAGTTGACTGTCGTTTATGTCTGCTTGAGTTTTTTTTTTTGAAGTGACTGCAACGAGAGTCTTATATATATTCTGCAAATTCGGAGTCTCGGAGAAATGTATGAAAACGATACCTACGTTATCTGGCTTAAGCCAATTACCTCCGCCCTCCTTTGAATTTACAATCACCTCGTCACATTGATCCGAATGCAAGTTGGTCACGGTCAATTTTAGGACTATTAGTATAAAATTTGAAGTCTTCTTCGTATCAAGAGAAGTTGAGCTGCTACATCGGCATCTGGTGCCCTCGAAAATCAAATGAATACGCATAACATTTTCCAAAGACATGTCGTCAGTGCATGCCACCCAACCCTTTCAAGCGTCATCCTCACCTGAAGAGCCTGCGCCAGCATCATGTTCGGGAGCGTCTGCAGGCTTTTGCGCGTACCAGAAGTAAAAGTTGAGGTACCGGTGCTTAGTCCTGTCCTCAAGCTCCTTCTTGGCCGTCGCTTGCCACACTTGACTCTCGACATTCGAGATACCGTGAGCCTCAAAGGGTTTACCGGCGAAGGCCGGGATAGCATCGGCAACGACGCCCTTCATGTATTGTCCAATGAGCCGCATGGTCTTGTCCTTGGGCCAGGTTCCGACCGGGATCTTCTTCACCTCACAGTGGATGTCCTTAAATCCTGCAGCCTCGAGATGGGGACGCAGGTCTCGTGCAATATGGAACATGATGCCGAGGCCGTCAAAGGCTTCGACGGTAAGCTCGTAGAATTCCTTGAGTTTGTCATCTTCAGGCATGGTACCGTCGTCGCAGTGAACTTGACCGTGAAGCTCTTGGAACTCGATCCAAGCACCGGGCCTCATGTGTCTGTCGTCTCTGTGAGTGTGATGTCAGGAAGAGTTTCTGGTATTAGACTTACTCATATGCCTGGGTCAAGACACGGTCAAGCTTTCTTAGCGCGGGGGCTACAGAACGCAGGTGAACGTAATCGAAGTCGTCTCCGTTGAGCCATTCATCCTCGGCATCGTCCACAAGGAATTTTACATTCGGGGGGATCCAAGTAGGCTGAATTGGAGACAAATCGATCCCAAGAACTTCAGCGGCAGGGAAAAGGTCGGCAACTTCAAAGACCGCATTAGTGGCCATCATTGGTAGCTCAGATAAGAGGGTTCCGGCATACCTTGTATTGCCCAAGTTCCTAAGTAACATATTAGTCAGGGTTCGGAGACCGTGGTGACTTGTGGAGCTTACCAGTTCCAGTTCCAATGTCGATGATTTTCTGAGGGGTCTCGCCGATGGGTGCGTAGATCAACTTTCCATCCTGGGTATCTATCGTCAGCTTTGAGAGGGTCACCAGACGAGCGGCAGGGCGCAGCTAACGGTCAGCTCGAGCAACATGGTATGCTTCATGTCCTCGCGACTTTGCTCCGTCTCGTCATTGGGCATGGGATAGCGCCCATGGCGATAGCTGTGGTAGCGACGACCATTTTCGTACTCGTGCGCGTAGACGCTGGAGCTGAGCGAGGCAGAGTCGACCGAGGACGCATCCCAGTCAACAGGCTCGAATTCACTCTCGTCAGCTGGTCCATCGGCCGCCTCAATAGCAGCAGCGGGGTGCTGAGAAGCTGGATCGTCGTTGCTGGACATGGCTTCAGGTACCTCCACGGATCCACGATTTCTTTCTGGAAGCTAGAGAAACAGGGGAGTTAGCAAGGGGGTCCCAGTCGCGAGTCAGAAGGCATCACGAAATCTTACCGCTAATGCACGGCGTAGAGCAATCAGTTCTTGGCTATCTCACTGCAGTGACCAAAAGCATAGATTTCCTGTAGGATTTTGGCGTCGTCGCAAAACCGAAATTGTTGTAGCAAGCACACGTGGTCAAAGTGCCAACGCTCGTCTCAACGTGACAAAAAATAAGACGTCGGAAGGGTGGGAGAGCCGAGAGTATCCTGAAGAATTGCAATTGATCGGTTGGTTCCGTTTCACTCGGGTGTGCTCCATTTTACTGCGTGAGGAGACAGCAATATCAGGCAATGCTCCAACGGACGAAACAACTCCATTGGTTGCTGGCCGAGGTCCTCGAGACCAATTGAGAGCACAGATTGGAAGGGGGAACAAGTCGATAGCAGGGGGTCTTTGCTCCGCTTCGAAAAGCGGCACAGTTCAATGTTTGTCCCAAGTTGACAGGCCTGTTGGCCCGAACCGATATCCATCTGGGTTACATGCCCAGGGATAAGATGGAGTTGGGCTCGCGGCGATCCGGCGAGGTGCAGCTCCCAGCGCTGGACAATAGCAGCATACTGACTTCCCTTGCGACAAAAGTATGTACAAGGCGACAGTTTCATAGGCTCTAACTCTTTCGATCAGCAGCATTTTGATAGAGTGGAAATGTGTGAAGCGGTCCGCAGGGAACATAACACCCACCCACTTCTGACTGGCCATGTTCTCATCAGGTACGGAGACAGTGTTGGCAGCGGAGAGTTTTGCAGTGGCTCAGCAGGAAGGGAATCGATTGTTCTAGGACAAGGAGACAACAACGATCGCAAAGACTTAATCGGCTGCAAACAATGGAGGGCCAGAATACAGTAGATACGCCATCATCCGAGGACATGCCACAGCCAGAGGATAATGCGATTGGGAGGCGGCATTGCTGTCGTGGACGTTGAAATTACCCCTCCTGTTCTTCAGCAGCCGGCCCGGCGGGATCACGCAATGAGATGGGTGCAACCTTAGGAATTAGGTTTTCTCCTGCTTAAATGGAAGCGGCCGGCAAAGCAACGGTAAGGAACGGATGCCGAGTGAGGTAAACGACAGCAAACGGCAGTAGGTAAGGTACCGTTTTGAGGGTGTGATCTAGGCATAGAAAGAATGGAACCTGGTGAGGACCTGCCAAATGCTGGTGAAGAAAAAGAGTTTGAAGTGGGATGGAAGGAACGAACAACCTTTGGAACACTTCCAAGTTAGTTAAGTAGGGAGGACCCACCTTCTTCGGCCGTCCTTTCCTCGAAAGCTCCAAATATTCTCAGGCCAGGGTTCAGAATCGATCCATCACGGACGGCTTAGCTCCAGGACGTTGACCCGTGCATAATGACATGCGCCTTCCTTTTCCTCTTCTTCTTCTTTTCTTTCTTCTCTTGCATTCGACCCCATCGCTGGCTCCTCTGTCCCATTCTGTCCCAGATGGAGGAGGGGCTCTGCTTGCCGATGGTTCCTCATTACATCCAAAAGGCAAGGTACCTTCAGTAAGGTGTACGTACCTTAGTATGGAGTTTCTTTCCATCTTTTACCCAATCGCTTGACTTGCTTCAGTATTCAAGTATCTTCATTAGGTAACTAAGGTAAGTTGAGGAAGGCGAGGTGAGGTATGTACCTGCCGGTCCTGCCCACCTGCCCGAGACCTCGAGACAGAGATGGACCCGACCTGCGGTACTTACACCTTCCCAACTTTCTTTCCTCCGAAATCCAAACTCCAACCTCCTCCTTCCTGCAGCTGCAGGTGTGGAAAGTCACACCTTACAGGCAGGCGGAGACAAACCGGACCCTTGGTCTCCTTCCACAGTACTCCGTACTTGCCTACGGAGTACTGTGCCTCAAGGTTCTGGCATTTGGGACATGGAATGAATGGAAGTGTGAGCAGATCCAATGACCCCGCCCCCTTTGCCCTTTGGCCGATGAAATGTTTGCTCCAACAAAGCCACAAATCCAACGACATCGTTTTTTGCCCTCTCTTCTCTTGCTCCGCCTCTTTTCAAAAAGCGATTCCAATCAATAGCTTACCTAGCTACTCTTCAGCCTATTCATTCCGTCGTCTTTCCCTCCTCATTTCCCCTCGCAGGCACCAGTTGTTGTAGCGCGTTTCTGCCATGTTTTCATCCGCCATACCGCCAAATTTAGAGGCGCGCGCCATGCCCTCGTTCTAACCAGGCCGGAACCGTCTTGGCGTCTTTTCGACCTCGAATCTCTGACTTGCTTCGCTCCGATACGGAGGAGAGAGAACGCACAATACGATGCCTTCTTCAGACCCTGACTAGAGTTTGCCCGGGGTCCATCAACTTTTGCCCTCATGGCATCCAATGGCTGAAGCCGACTACTGCGACTGACTTACATATGGAGCCCTGCCCGCATATCTTCGTACGTACAGACACCAAAGACAGGGTGCTGCGTGGGAACACGAAATGCCTACAGTAGGATCACGGAACCACATCACGGATCAACGTTTGAGACCTCGATTTTACTCTTGATCTGCATGCCAGAGACAGTACGGGCACACATAATATAGACGTCTTCTTATAGCACTGTGTCTTTCGTGGGCCCATACGATTCGGCCGGCGACGCAACTCGACAAGACACGACCAGTGCGGACGCACATAAAGACAGCACCTCCATGTCCGCTTCGTCGTCGACTTGCCATTGGCCCCGAATTGCACCAACAATGGGCAAACAAGACAACAATCCGCCCTCGCATATCAGTCACACCATGCAACTGTCGCCTATTCATCGATACCCAACTCGGCCATCCCTCATGCAATGACCTCATTTATCCAAATCGTCGGATTTCCCAACAGTCAGGGCCGCTTCCAATGTTCCGTCATGTGCTGCCAGCGTGGCATGCAGTCCTTCTGCACCCATCCTCCACCTCAACCCATCGACTCTGTCGGCTGTTTCCATCGTTTGGTGGGGCACATCACGCAGCCAAGCTGCTGCTACATGTCCCCCTCGACGACCCCTCCCCTGCCCATCAACTCTCGCAACCATGCTACTGGTCAAATCGCCCACAGAGACGGCCGTCCTGAGAGACACAATTCCAGTTTGTCACTTGTGCTCAAACCTCGACGCAGACGCTCCCTCTGCCCAGCCCGGCTTGCTCGACGCTCAACTTCACCGCCTGAAGTTGATTCTCCTTGCGTGTCCGTGTGTGATTCACTGACCAGCCCCCGACCTGCCGGCGCAGGAGCTGGGATCTACCCACTTCAAAAACAACAGACACCGCCGTGCCGCCCGAAGGTTTCAGTGCATATCGATTCGCCAGTCGATCCACTCTTTGCACGTCAGTGTGATGACCACTGTCTGTAATGGCTCAATTCAGTCCACAGCGAATTCGGCCCTCGCTCATCCGGTCACGGGCAGCAATTGACCCTGAGAGATCGGGTGCGAGTGCTGGATACACTCCTCGGAAACGTCGGTGGGAGCGTGGCACAGCATGCTACTTGGCCCATCGCAGGGAAGCAGGTTGTTTTAGAGTTTTGGTACACCACAGCAGAAATACCGCCTCGCTGTCTTGCCGCACGTCTCGTCGTCTAAGCCTAGCAACGCCTCGTGGATTCTCCAGCCATGCTTTCTTTTTTCCAGGCCGGTTTCCCTGCTTAGTTGCCTACTACTAATACGGTACTCCTAACCATGGATTCGATCAGTTCTACAGCTCGAAGCCACATCCAGGGACTGGGGTGTTTTCCCCAGCCTCGGCATCCTAGCTTCAAAGGCTTCTCACCTTTAAGCGAAAATCTCCCCCAGGTTACCAGAAATATCAAATGACCGAGGAATGACCATCGGGTTCCAATGTCGCTTCGTGGCTGACGGTGGCGCTTTCCAGAGCTAGTCGGAAATAACGAGCATGTCTCGAATCTGGTTCCAAGTCTTCTGCCAGTTTCATGCCGAAATTAGTCTTGCTGCAAGTGTTCATTCAAATCGCTTCTCTCCGTGGTTCGGCAACCTGATCCGGTTATGGCAATATCAACGTCCGTGTGCAAGAGCCGAACGAACTTGCTATGCAACGAGGCTGGATGACCAGCCGTGGAGCACTCAAGATCCTCCTAGACCGTACCTAGTTTGCCGACCAGTCCGACGTCTGATTGCCAGAGAAACAGGCACCACAACTACTGAGCCCATCATTGCAGCTCGCTAGACCAAAGCTCTCCCCCGCTATTGCCCTGCCGCCCTGCCGTGGGCACAACGGCGATGTTCGCATTGGCGACCGAGAGTAACCACGGCAGGAATGCGGCTGTTCACCACCATGCTCGCGCCTAAACAATAACACAACAAGGCACAGACCTGGGCGTCAAGAACTTTTGGGGCGCTGGCCTGGCTCCCTAGGACCTAGGTACATCACAGCTAAGACCTGCATGCAAGGCCGGGCGAGCGTGGAGAATCCAGCTGGAAGACGCAGAAGAAGTGGACGAACAAAGATGAAGAGGAAGAGGAAGAAGGACCAAAGTAGCGGTGCGGTGCGCAGGGATCATTCCTGTTCGTTGCAACCCTGATCGTCAACTGCCGCCAAGGGTCGGTGGTCGTGGCCGAAGGCCGGCTTCGAACTGAGGGAACAGACTCGCGCTGGTGCTAACTCACAGACAGAGAGAAGAGAGAGTCAGGACGCCGACGAGCGAGCGAACTAATCAAAACAATGGCGCGAGTGGCCGGGCATGGCCGCCCTACTATTACGATGCCTTGCAATTTGGCTTTGGCAGCCATCTCCTCATCCTTCTCCGCCTCTTCGTCTCTGGTACATGGACGTTTCTCTCACTCGTCCAGATCTCTCATATATGACTTGACAAAAAGTCTCTACACCATCCATCCCCCTGCAAGCGCAAATGCATCCAAGTACTCACTCCCTTCGCACCCCCCATGATCCATCCTTCACCCCCAACCCAATTATGTCATGCATCATGGCTTCAAAGTATCCTGGACCCTCTTGTAATTTTGATACCCGTCCCTTGGTCTCCACCGCCTCGAACAAGGCCTTATACTACCTTGCCCGTCCCGCATTCGCTCACCGTCGCATTTGGCTTGTCACTCCCGTGCTGCGGTGTCTAGCTAGATATATAGACACTTCTCCATGCTGTTTGGAGCCACAGAGGTTCGCGCTTGCTGCCTGACCGAACAGCTCATTGCTCAAACATGCAGCTTTGGGTTCAAGTCCTTTTCTTCATATACTGTCCTTACTACCGTTCCCTTGTCACATTGACTGCCAGAGTTGCTTTTCTTTCCGACTTTCCGAACCCTGCCTCTCTTTCTTGAACAGTCTTATGGCAACCAGAGTCAAGATGAGTTCTTCATCGTCTTCGCGCAAGTCGCGCAGAACGACTAGCATCTCCAACGTCATGTACACCAACGCGGTCTACTTCCCCAACGAACGGATATACCAAGGCGACACGCCGGGCGCCATGAACTATGGCTGCATCAACCATGTGTATTACGCCTTTGCCAATATTTCGCCTGATGGAGGTGTTTTTGTGAGTATACCCAAATCTGCTGGCCGTATGGGTTGACTAACTAACCCTTCGATAAGCTGAGCGACGAGTGGGCCGATGCCCGCGCACCAGTCGATGGCGTCCAGGGTGGCCTAGGGTCTCTCATGCACCTCAAGCAGAAGCATCCCCATTTGCAAGTTATTCTATCCATCGGGGGCGGCAATTCCAGTGCCGTGTTCCCCGTGATAGCTGCAAATACACTCTACAGAGATAACTTTGCACGGTCTGCGAGAGGCCTGGTCGACGCGTCGGGCTTGGATGGCATTGATAGTGAGTTTGCTCGATTCTTCCTGCCTCTGCATTAGTGTTTTGTTAGCTCACATCGTCGATCAGTTATGTGGGAGTATCCTTGTGATTCTCAGCAGGGCCACCATTTCCTTGCTTTGTTGGCGGCTGTTCGCCTTCATATGCCCGAAAGTCATTATCTCCTTACTGCTGCGTTACCTGCCAGCCGAGCGATCTTGCAGTACATCGATCTGCAACGAACGGCCGACTACGTCGACTACCTCAACCTCATGGCGTACGACTTCGCCGGCACATGGACACACAGAAGCGGCCATCACGCACAATTGTATGCAATGAGCAAGGACGAAACCTCGGGCGCATCTACCGTGCAGTATCTGGTCTCGCAAGGCTTTCCCTCGCAAAAGATCCTCCTCGGCATTCCCCTCTACGGTCGCAGCTTTCTTCATGCCACTGGGCCGGGACAAAAGTTCAAGGGAAGTGGCGGGAACAATGGGACATTCGAGTACAACCAACTTCCCCGTCGGGGAACGAAGGAAGTCATTGACAAGAAGTCTATCGGGGCCCAATGCGTTGGAGCAGATGGCGGCTTCGTCACTTATGATAACCCCGATACGGTGAAGATGAAGGCTGCATTTTGCAAACAAAAGAGCCTAGGAGTATGTTTTGCCCCAATGATACCATGGGATGATACATGTGCTAATGAGTCGATAGGGACTATTCTACTGGAGCGGACCAGCAGACGCAAAGGAGAGCTCACGGAGTCTCATAGCCACCGGATTCAGAGCTCTGCATAGTTCCTGATGGGCTAATTTACCTCAGAATGGATCACCTAGAGTGCGTCCAAGACATTCAGCAACAGTCCGCCGACACGTGTCGGCAAACCTCGGCCTCACGGGCCGGAAGGCAGTGACAGACAGACGATAATTGCATTTACGCGGAGTAAGGGGATCGACAGCATCTGACAAGGGGGGCGACATGGCGTTCTTTTTTCCTCCTTTAATTCGGCGACCTGCATCACGGACTTGTTTCTTACTCGATTTTCGACATTTGCTCAGTTTTTACGAATGATTCCCCCTTGAACCTTTTTGATCGACGCATCACCAGGCGGCGGCGGCATGACTGGATTTTTGGGGGCGGGGAAAGGACACTTAAAAATTTGGGGCGGCTGATGATATCCCACGCGTGGACCAGGGGTGGCGGTGTAGCTGACTTTGCATGGCATCATATGGCTTCTCTCACGATTTCTCTACCTTCACGACGGTTTTGCATCATGACTCATATTATAGAAGAAAGCGAGACGAGGGAGAGGGTGGCATTGGGCGGAAATATCTGGTGGATGGGAAACAAATTTGTATTTCTTGGTAGGCGTCTGGGCGCGTGGGACGCCGTTGACTCGCGTGGGCGACTCTGTCTCTCGGTCTCTCACGGGCTCTTACGACGAGAAAGCCGGAGGCCTGGAGCAAATTCAATGGAACACACAGAGACCTTTTTTTTTTGGGTTCAGAATTTCTGCCCCTCCTTTCACCATCGTGAGATTTTTTGTGTGTAGTGGGCTGTGGGTTGCAGTGCTGCAGTATTGCACACACGCACGGCATTGTAGGCTTGTAGCAGTGGGCGGTCCTCCCTCATGGAGGGGTCTTTGAGGGGCACAAGGGCACCGAGGGGGGGAAGTCCCCCCTCGGATGGGCCAAGAGGCAGTGGAGTGGAGGGTCTTGATGTGAGGCGGGTGTGTGGGTAATCGTTTTCTTCTGCGGGCACCCTTTCTGCGTGGGTGTGCGAGTGAGGCAACCCACGCAGATCGGCGCGGGGCAATGATATTCTTACTGTACATACGCAGTACATAAGGTACTGTTGCGATGCCTCCAAGTGGGAATTGGGAGAAGTTGCTCCAAGTGGGAAAATGGAAGGGCAACAAGGGGATACGATACCCATACCAACTTGGAGGGGTTTGGATCATGGATGAATAAAGGAGGGGGGCGGCAGCAGGGCAGCAGGGCAGACTTCGCAAAAGGGAAACAGCCGGGGTGGGGAAAGCCCGCTGGATCGGAGCCCACTCCGAGATACGGGAGACGGAAGCGATTCGGTAAGCCGTGTCTGGGCTGGGGGTCTGCGCGACCGCAGGCGTACATACTGCGTACCGTTACCGTACCGGGTGAGGTGGGAGGGAAGGGGGGAGTGCAAGGGCCAATCCAGGGTTTCTCGTTTGTCGATCAACAACCGGGGGGATATTGCACGGGATGTGTGTGTGTGTGACCGTGACGGTTGACAGGACAGAAGCGTGAGAGCCATTGCTATTCTGGAGTTTAAGCGTGGGTTTCGCTTTACGCAGTACCTAGGGTAATGGAATTGGAGGACGCTGGCAAGCTGGGTGCTACGGTATGCGATGTACGTTTAGGGTGGGGGCAACTACCTACCTACCGTGCAGGTATATCCAATGGAGGGTTGGTGGTGGTGGGATGGAGAACGATGCAGGTCGACCGATTCGGAATGTGATTCCATCATTGTCAGCCCGTTCGTCGTGCGCCGTTTCTGCGACCTCTTGTTGTTTACGGGCGTTGTAAGAACGCTCACTTCTCTTTTTTGAGATGCAGTGTGTTGCTAACTAAGGTAGTCAGTAGGTCTATTTGGTTTAGGGGGTTTTACTCTTTTGGGATCTTTCGTATTCAATTCCATGGAACATCCAATCCAATGGAAGTAGAGAAAGGTCAGCCAGATATTTTGATACCGAAGAGTGAATGTGAACCAAGTAAAAAAGTGGGTGGTGTGTCTGAGCTGGTAATTCTTCGGTATTTCTTGCTCCCGACTTCATGTGGCTTTTTGTCGTGTTGTGACCACACACACACATACACACACACCCTGACCTCTTTGTTGGCCTAGCTTGCCTTGCTGTCACAGATGGCTGAATTTCTGTTGTAATTGATTCAGCTGTGTTGGTTCGACATGCTTCTGGATGGGAATTAGATCAATCGTATTTTTCCTGCACATTCAGGACAAATATGTAGGAGAGAGTCATGATCCTGCATGTGAGGCGCGCATCAACACTTCTTCATTCGACGGGGTGTCAAGAGAGCCCTGCTGTGCTGTAGGATGTGTTGGGATGTTTAATGCGTGCGCATGCGTGTCTTTCGCGGTGATGAATCTGCAATTCCCATTCGGGATCACCCAAACGGGGGTAAATGTGAGAGGTTGGATTTGGGGGAAGAAGAGGGGTGCGGGCGTCCAGTGGTACCCAATGGGAGAATGCAAGCCAGGCTGCTCTGTCGATCGGAAATACAGGAGACCGATAAGATTGGTTGCTATTCGGGGGTTTTCATTTCCAAGTTTTCGTCTTGTTGTTGTCCTTCTGTCCTATTTTGCCCATAAGGATGGTGTGCTTATTCTATTTGCCCGATTGAGAACGTCGACCAAGGAGGTATGCGTTGTACCTTACCATACCTACGTAGTCGCCGCCAAAGTCACAACCAGGGGTTGGGTTACAACACACTAGAAGAGAAAGTTCCATCAGTGCTTTTTCTCAAAAGTGACATACCCCAATGCTGTTCCAACGCAACAGTTGAAATCTGACCAGAGACACACCATGGTGGGTGATACAGAGACTGCGGGCTGCTGGATCGGGATGGTGTGTAATGGCTTGACAGGGGGTATGGTTCACTTTCAGGTTCGGATTTTGAGTGCACAGCAGGCTCCGGATGGGATTCTTGGAAACGAAGGGGGTAGCAGAGATGACGGCAGCAAGTGGGTGTGCTGCACACGTGGGTTCACATCACGGGAACAGGTACGGGGTCGTGCTGAACCAGACAGTCCACGGTCGATGACGATTGATTCACGCCTAGTGAATTCATGGTTCCGAATAACATGGGTGTCGGTGAAGGGATGAGGTGAGATGAGGTGAGATTCCTCGACGAGAATCAATGTTGCGGTGTGTTTTGCGGTCTAAATCAAGCTTCATGTCCAGAGTTGTGGTGTGGTGTATCGGCGACGGAGTAGTCGGGACGCTGGGGCACTTGAGGTGTCGGTGTGTGCTAATTAGTGTGCCTCGTGGGAAAACTTGTTCGTGGCTCGGTTTCTGCTCTTAGTCACGGCTACCATCTTCAGAGGTGTTTCTAGCCTTTTGAGCCGGTCCCAGGCGCAATCGTCTTACGTGCTAGTTTGTTGATGGCGTCGTCTTAGGTCCAGGGGGATTGAGGAGCCGTGACGACGACGGTGTGTTTGAGGCCCGATATAGCACTCGGGCTCTGACGCGCGCCTCCGCCCGGGAAACTTGGTCAACGGACGCCTCGTTTTTTCCGTCATGCTTTTCAGGCCCATCAGCCCGTACTGCCCAGGTGGCTTCCTTCAGCTCCTGATGCTCTTCTTCCGCGCGAGGCTGCCTGGCTCCTCACTAGCCTCGACGAAAGCCACGCCTTGGATTCATCAAGGTATAGAAGGCACCCAGCATGCCCGCCTAGCACGAGAGCGGGAAGCCGATGCGGCGCACTGACTCGAGAGAAGGCGGGTTAAGCTAGATGGCCTCGATTGCGTTTTGCTTTTTTCCACGTGGGAGAAGGGCGGGCCGCCTTGGTCTGGCAGCGGTGCAGAATCTCTGGTTTCTTTTTTCTTCCCGAGATGCGACGGCGCCGTGTTGGAGAATGAACGGCGCGCTTTTTTGGTTTGGTAGTATCGTGGTAGAAGTGGAGAGCGTCCGTCATGGCCACCCGGCAGGCAAAGTGCGGTGTGTCGTAGAAACTGGTTGAGTGGACATCTTGGGACGTCGGGCGTTGGCCGCCCCGGCCGATTGCGGGATGGCGGGGATGAGGGATGAGAGGAGGGGGGAGACCGCAGGATCTACGGTGCTTCTCGGGGTTACGAGGGTATGAGAGGCCCAAGAAAGAATGGGAGGGGGGGCGAGGAGGGGCGGATTTGCCCAGATTTACATGACTCGGTTATCGGGGTTGAGCCTTGACGGGATGATGTGCTTTTTGCTGAAGAATTTCCTCGGGAAGACCAACCCGGAATGCTTAAAACGACGTATGGGTGACGGGGACGTGGCAGGTGATATGGCAGGTGACAATAATGGGGCGATATAGGACAGGGGAAATGCTGACTTGCGGCGCAATGGAACCTGTTGGAGCAACAAGTCCATTGTCAGATGTGAGGAGCTGGATGCCTGCAACAAAGGTAACTAGTGCCTGTTTCCATGTTTGCGCCAGATTGTAAGCAAGCCTGAAAGTGCAGTGAAATGCCTCGTAACCGAGGTACTTTGCGCTGACTGCTGTGTAATCTGTTTCTAGGCTCCCGTTCGCCTCCGGAGTGACGACGCCAGGAGGGTCGGATCTGAAAGATCGGGGGTCACGGGGGACGGCGGGGATGTTGGGTTATGCCGAGCAGAACCGGGCGTGGGGGCCCTTCTCGAGGATATTGGGAGGCTGGGCTGCTCGGTCTCGGGAGCCACGCTTGCCGCAAAGACCGAGATGGTGTCAAAATGAGACGGAGTGCATGTGAACGCCTCGCCCTGACAGAGTTCTGACAAGTCAGACAGATGTGTTCGTCACCAGTCGTTCTAGACTGGTGCCATAAGCGGCCGCATGAGCGAGTGTCCCCAAACATCCTTCCTGGCTGACGACTCTAGCCAGGCGACAAAGTTGACGTTGAGTAGGTGGTGGTGTCCGACTGTCATCCGTCGTCTGATGTTGGCCGCCATGGTTGGTCAGTTATCAGATCGAGACATCCCTGAAATGGTGGGCAGAAACTTCGACTATCGGAACATGCGTTGGTCCGTTGTTTGGAGGTCCGTGGCTTGAGTTGGGATATCCAAGTACCAGGCATTCCGGCAAATGGTGAGCCGCGTTATCTTCTGGCTGTGGTCTCCAACCGATTTGCGTGGCAAAAAAGGGGTGTTGTGATTCATTGTCTTTCATGTTGGCTACTCATGCGAGTAGAGATTGATGCGACGCGAGCCTTTGCAAGTGGCTGGAGAGTTCCAATGTGTTGGCAGAGTAGCACCTCATCTCCCAGGACCCCCTCCACCATGGCATGAGTTGGAAGACAGGGCGCACCCCAGCCTATGGGTTGTGGCGTTACTTCCAGCAATGCGAATTTCGGTCGACAGAGTCCCAACTGCCCTTTGTCGCGATGACATGGAGATACATGCAGTGGAGTCGACATGGATTGCAGGATGTATTCGAGAAATTTGCCATATCGGCTCATATTGGCTTCCCAGTCTACGGAAAGCATCTGTTTCCTCGTGTCGAACCTTATCCGTAAAGGTTGGACTGGAATGACGATAAGCCCATGATCAAATTCTTCGACGTGGCAGCGAAACAGTGCGGATGAGTCTGGCTCTAGTCAAGATGAGCTTGATGCACTCTAAGGAAAGCTGTTCGACTGCCTCCTACGTTAAGCCAACGCAAGGGTCTGCTTGGAGGTAGTTCAATTGACCGTCTGACGAGAGACCGTATGACGGAAAGCCCTAGAACCATATCAATTCGTCAGTGTGGCGTGT